GCATGGTGCCCAGCCCTCCTCCCCCAGTTCCCTGCCCCGCATGGTGCCCAGCCCTCCTCCCCCAGTCCCTGCCCCGCCTGGTGCCCAGCCTGCCCTCACCTGGATGCTGTACTGCTGCTTGCTGTGCTTGTAGTGGGTGACGCTGAAGCACAGCGAGTCCCTGGTGCTCTCGATCAGCATCAAGGAGGAGCACTGGGGGGAGAGTGGCATCAGCAACCCAGGTATGACTCCGCTCCCAGGGGCCACGCCAACCCCTCCGGGGCTCCCCCCCACCGCGCAAGCACTGCTGCAGCCAATCCCTCTGGGGCTCCCCCCCCTGCCAGCACCACTGCCCCCCCCAGCGCCCCCCCTTCCCAGCACCACTGCGGCCAGCCCCCCGGTGCTCCCCCGCCTGGCCCCAGCACCGCTGTGGCCAGCCCCCACCCCCAGCACCACTGCCGCCAGCCCCCCTGGGGCTCCCCCTCCCCGCGCTGCCAGCAGCCCCCTCCCCCCTAGGGGCTCTCCTCCCCAGGCTGCCGCTGCCCACCCCTCAGGGCTCCCCACCCCATGCTGCCAGCACCACTAGCCCCCGCAGGGGCTCCCCTCCCCGCACCAGCAGCCCCCTGAGGCTCCCAGCCCAAGGACAGTGGGGTGGGAACAGGGAACAGGCAGGAGGCCATGCCACCCAACTAGCTTGACCGGCTGCCGACAGTGTAGGGCACCACGGAGCCACGGGGGGTGGGGGGAACCACAGAGCCATGGGGGGGGGAGGGAGTTTACCGGGATGTCGTTCTTGCAGACGAAGTGGTCGCCCCGTCTCTTGGTGATGAGCAGGGTGCGGTCGAAGAGGAAGAAGGTGCGCTCGTTGCGCACGCGGTGCACCCGGAAGGTGCCCTCCAGCACCAGCTCCCCGAAGGTCGTCAGATCCGGCCCCTTCCAGTGCAGCAGCAGGGACTGGATCTCCTGGGGGGGATTGGGGGGAGGCGGCCTCAGGTGGTGCTTTTCTCAAACCAGCCACACGCACCCACAGATCCACGAGGGGGTCTCAGCCCTGCTGCCCCCCCCGTCCTGGCACCACCGCTGGCCTTGGGCCCCTGCCAGCACCCAGCGGGCCGCATCCCAGCTCCAGGGCACCGGGAGGCCATTTCTCTGAGCACAGGAACATGGGGCCAGGAGCAAAGGGTCCCCAGATGTGGCCGGGCCAGAGGCAGCGGCCGGGAGGGGCTCCTTTCCACCTCCCACGGGGACCTTCGGGAAGCGCATGAGGCTCTCAGCTCCCAGCCGGTCCCATGGAGCCACTCCCCAGATCGCGGTGCCGGGGGCTGCATTCACACGGCCGGGGGCGGGACACACCCACACCAGCGCTCACCTGCAGCCGCACAGCGTGCTCGTGTCTGCGCTTCATGTCGTTGATGTACCAGGCCACGCAGGTCATGGTGTCGATGGCCTCCTCCACCACCTCGTAGCCGGCCTCCTCCAGGTCAAAGTGCTTCGCGATCTCCTGGGGACACCACCCGGCGTGAGGGCTCGCTGCCCTGCTCCCACCACAGGCCCCACTCCCTTCGCCCTCCCCAGGGGCGGGGCGCCCAGGGCATGGGCAGGGCTGAGGGACACAGCCGTGGGGCTGCTCACCGGGCACCTTTAGGGTTCAGAGCATGGCACTGCGGTTGGAGGGGATGCAGCGCGGGGCGGAAGGAAGGAAGGGGATTGCAGTGCCACTGGAGAGGGGGCGGGCCTGTGACGCTGCAGCGGTGGGGATGGGGGGGCAGGGGACACCCTGCGGCGGGTGAGGGAGGAGGTGCCAAGGCAGTGATCGTGATGCGCACAGTAGAACAGGGGTACCGCATGGAAGGTGGGGTGCCATGCCACAATGCCCGTGCAGTGGGGGGTGGGAGGAGGGAGGCACCACAATGCCCGTGCAGTGGGGGGGGAGAAGAGGCGGGAGGCACCACAATGCCCGGGCTGCAGGGGGAGGAAGAGGCAGGAGGCACCACAATGCCCAGGCTGCGGGGGGAGGAAGGGGGGAGGGAGGCACCACAATGCCCGTGCAGTGGGGGGTGGCACGCACCCCCTCGTTTACCTGGAGCAGCAGGTGGTACTTGAGTATCCTCTGGACCGGCTTGAGCAGGTAGGAGCCCAGGGGCAGCACGTGGCCAATCTGCTCCTGGCGCTCGCGGAAGAACTTAGCCTGGTGCTTGTTTCTCATGCACTCGGTCAGAGCCGCCACCGAGCTGCAGGGACCAGACACTGCGGTGAGGGGAGACGCACGTGGGAGAGGGGCCTGGCACAGCGCCCAGACACCACTGTGATGGGAGATGCCCCATCCACACGGGGCGGGGGCCTGGCACGGAGCCCAGACACCACGGTGATGGGAGATGCCCCCCACATGGGGCAGGGGCCTGGCACGGCACCCAGACACAACGGTGATGGGAGATGCCCCCCACACGGGGCAGGTGCCGGGCACAGCACCTGTACATCACAGTGAGGGATGAATGGCACATATAGTCCCAGGGGCAGAAACCAGCCCCACCCGCTCCTGTGCGCAGCTTGTGTGGTGGGGCTGGGGGGCTGGCACACGGCCCCTTCTCCTCCCAGGCCATGGACTGAGGCACCTGCGATTGGGATGCTGGGAGAGGCTGCTGCACGAGGGGACACTGGCCCCTCCCAGCTCTGGCAGTGCCCCCATCTCAACCCCCCTTCCCCCTCAAATCTGGCAAGATCCCATCATCTGCTGCCAGACCCAGGCCACCCCAGCATGGGGTGCAACCTCCCCACAGGCAGGGGTCCCCGCTCTAAGGATCCCCCACCCTGTGCTCACTCACTTGGGGTAGTTGTTGCAGTACTGGGTGTAGATATCAAAATCCTGGCTCTGCAGAGGGGGGGGAAGAGAGAGAGACCGTGAGTGAGGTCTACAGGGGGAGCCCCCCCCCACAGCGCTCTGCCCACACGCTAGCCCCAGGAGCTGCACCTAGGGTTGCCAACCCTCCCGGATTGGCCGGGAGTCTCCCAGAATCGATCTCCCGGTGGCGTCTGAAACCAATCCGGGAGATTTTAATAGGCCAAAATCCGGTCAGCGATGCAGCGGGGCTAAGGCAGGCTCCCTTCCTGTCCTGGATCCACGCGGCTCCTGGAAGCCCCTAGGCACAGCGGGGGGGTCTCCACGCGCTGCCCCGTCCCAAACATTGACTCCGCAGCTCCCATTGGCCGGGAACTGTGGCCAATGGGAACTGCCGGGGCGGTGCCTGCAGGCAGGGGCAGCGCACAGAGCCGCCTGGCTGCCCCTGAGCCTAAGAACCGGAGGGACGTGCCGGACACTTCCCGAGGTAAGCGCCAGCCGGAGCCTGCCCCCACTCCCTAAGCCCCTGCCACAACCCTGAGCCTCCTCCTGCACCCAAACTCCCTCCCAGAGCCTGCACCCCTCATCCCACCCCCAACCTCCTGCCCCAGCCCAGTGAAAGTGAGCGAGGGTAGGGGACGAGTGATGGAGGGGGTGGGGGTAGGGCCGCGGAGAAGGGGCGGGGCAGGGGGCGGGGCAGGGGGCGGGGCAAGGGTGTTTGGGTTTGTGCGATTAGACAGTTTGCAACCCTAGCTGCACCCCTCCCTGTGCCCAGCCGCAGCTGCCAGCGAGTGCTTACACTGGGCACTGCCCTCCCAGTATTCCACCTGCCTGGGCATCAGCGTCCCGCAAAAGTGCCTCAGTGCTGCAAGCGTCCCCAAAGTGCCCCAGCCAGTCCCCCAGCTCGGTTGGCACCGCAAGCTCCCCCACCCCCGCCCTTGCCAAGCTAGGGCCGTCCCATGAAATCCATCAGGGCCATGTGCTGTGCCAGGCGTGGGAGCTGGGAGACGCTCACCTGCCAGGATGACAGGCGCTAGCACTAAGCCCTGAGTACACCAGTTCGCCTGGCGCAGGACCATGTCATGGGCCGTCTCGCCAGCCGCTCACCACTGCGTGCCACCTCCAGAGCCCCCCTTACCCTGTCCACAAAGCATCTGGCCACGGCCACGGGGTTGCTGTCACAGCTGTCCAGGTCCTGCAGCAGCTCGCTGGGCAGAAAGAGACACGGTCAGTCATGCAGGGCCTGCCAAGAGCACGCATGCTCCGGGCGACCCACAGGCCAGGCCTGCCAAGCACGCGTGTTCTCCGGGGGACACACGGGCCGGGCATGTGCTGCATGCATGTAAGGCATGCGCCCCGCCACTCCCAGCACACAAACCCCCAAGCAGAGGGCAGGCAGCAGAGCATGCAGTGCGCCCGGCGTGGTACCCACCTGCAGGGCAGGGCCCCTTCCAGTGCCGGCAGGGTTTGAAAACAAAGCAAGTGTTACGAGAGGAGGCCCTGGCCCGGCCGGCTCTCAGTCGCTCCACGCGGGCCCCAACCAGAGACCGCAAAGAGCTCAATGGACAGGCACCCACCCCCACCCCGACTGCGTTCTGCCCAAGGACTCTCGGCTGAGACAGCCTCAGTGCCAAGCCATGGGGAGGGATACGGACCGGAGCCGCTCCTCCGCCCTCAGGCAGGCCAGGCCTGGGCCACCAGCGCGGCTCCCTCTGACACTGCTGTCCTAGGGCCAGGGAGCAGGTGGCAACAGACTCTCCCCTCTGGACACTGGCAACGAGATCCCCGGCTCACAAGTCAGAAATCTGTAGGTGGGGACTGAGGGAAACAGGCAGAGCTGGGGGGAGGGGGGGGAGGCAGAGGAAGAGCCCAGGGCTGGGATAACAGGGGCCGCGGGTTGGGATTGACGGGCACCGGCAGAGCTTGGGGGTGGGGGGGCCGGAGGAGGAAGCCCAGGAGGCTCCCTAGGTGCCACAATTCCTTTCTACTGAGCACTAACACCGACTTCTCCAATTCTAAGGGGAAGCCCGTCCTGGGGCATTTACTCCTCCGCCCCTTTGGAGAGTGGGGGGTGGAGGAGGTAGGGTGGGGCTGGAGGAGGCGGGGGCTGTTAATGGAGGGGGTCGGGGGACTAGGCTGGAGCAGGTTGGAGGTTAGAGGGGGTCAGGCCAGAGTGGGTCAGGGACAGAGAGGGCAGAGGTTATGGGGGTCAGGGGCTGGGGGGGTCAGGCCGGAGTGGGCAGGGGCCGGATGGAGGGGGCTTAGGTTACAAGGGTTACGGGGGTCAGGCCAGAGCAGGTCGGGGCTGGAGGGGGTCAGGCCAGAGCAGGAATGACGGGGTCAGGCCGGAGCGGATGGGGGGCAGGGATAGAGGGGGCTGGGGTTACAGGGGTCAGGCCGGAGCAGGCGAGGGGCAGGGGTTACAGGGGTCAGGCCAGAGCAGGTTGGGGCTGGAGGGGGTCAGGCCAGAGCAGGAATGACGGGGGTCAGGCCGGAGCGGATGGGGGGCAGGGATAGAGGGGGCTGGGGTTACAGGGGTCGGGCCGGAGCAGGTCGGGGCTGGAGGGGGTTAGGCCAGAGCAGGAATGACGGGGGTCAGGCTGGAGCGGATGGGGGGCAGGGATAGAGGGGGCAGGGGTTACAGGGGTCGGGCCAGAGTAGGCAGTTCTGGGCCCGGCTCACCTGTTGAGTTCGTAGATATCCTCGATGTTCCCAAAGAGCGCGCTGACCTGCTCCGGCCGCAGCAGCTCCTCCTCGGTGTCGATGATCTTCCCCAGGTAGTCCTGCCAGGCGCACACAGTGAGCCACGGCGCAGGCCAGCGAGCAGAGAGGTGCTGTCGTGTGGCCAAGACCCCCCCAGCTCTCCCCTCCCGTCAGAGCCATCAAGAGGAGCTTCCCCCAGGCCAAGTTGGCTCCATTCGGTGGTGGGAGCAGGGCTCAGGTCCCCCCTCCCCGTCCTGCTGCCACAGGCAGCGCCATCCCCCACGCTAGCCCAGCCGCCCTGGAGCCTGCCAGGGCACAGCCAATGGGCCAAGGTCCCTGCGGGCGGCTTTATCCCCACAGAGCCCATCGACCCTGCCAGCACCCCGCCCCATTTCCATCACCCCCAGTGCATGCTGGGAGCTCACCCCACTAGCAGACCCCTCCCTGGAGAAGCCAGACCAGCAATATGGGGATGAAAGATTCCCCCTGATCTCCACCCCATGGGGCGTTTAGGGGCACGGACCCAGCCAGCCTGGCACTGTGCCATGCCCCTCCCAGCTGCTGGTACCAGCAGGGCTGACAGCACAGAGGAGCCAGAGATCCCAGGCGCCCCAGCTCCAGGGACAATGGGGTCGGGGGAGCCATGTGGCACCACACAGGGGCAGCAGGGGGTGCTGTTGTGCAGCAAGGGGGCGTGGAGGGGGCCGGCTCACCTCCACAATGCTGCGCAGGTCCCGCACGTACGTGCGCTCTGACTCCACGAGCTCCAGCACGACGCGCTCC